ATGGCTGGCTGGGGAATTCTGGGAGTTGAAGTCCACCCATCTTCAAGTGGCCAAGGTCGAGAAACACTGTTCTAAAATATTGGGTAAGACTTGGAGGGGATTGACATCCTTCCTCAGCTGTGAAGATGACTTTTGCACTTAGTTTCCTTCGGGGGGTGGAGTCCTCCCACAGCTTCATAGCAGAAGGGTGGGATGAAAATGTAAGGAATGGTGCTTCTCCTTTCTCCTAGAGGGTTAGAGCTCTTCATCTCCCCGATCTTCTCCTTTGCATTAAGGGAGGAGACAGACTTGCCTGTCTGGTTCTTTTCACAGGGGTGGGACCTCTTAACTAGATGGAAACACCGGGGGCTTTGGATGCATTTAAGTTTCTGGCAGTGGTGCTTCAGCTGCCCGGGACAACGTTGAGGGAGATGTTTTGGTGGGCGGCCTGCCTTGGCAGCGAAGAAGATGCCATCCAAAAGCTTCCCGTGCATCCGTCTGCTTGTTTCTCTTGCAGGAGAAAGGCTGAGAGGCCAGGAGGAGAACTTGGCATCTGCCGTTGATTCAGCAAAGCAGGAAGGCAGTGACTCGGATTGAGGTGGCGTTGGGGGGGCCGTTGCAGAAAAGAGATTCCTTTGTTCCAGACTCTGGGAAGGATCTGCCTCAAGGAATCCTGGAGCCTTTGTGTGGGCATAAGACGTGGTGGAACCAAGCAGCCTGAACAAACTGGGTGCAATTCATGCCTAGAAGAGCGTGCTTGTTGCGAACAAAAACATGTGATGCTTTCTCCAGACACACATTCCTCTTGACGCTCCCCAAACCATCGTCCTTGCTGATGCCTTAACTGGGGAAGAGAGAGACAGGATCTGAGTCTCTTGGCCGCACTGCCTCCGCCTCCTCTTCGCCTTGGACTTGGAGCAACCTAAACAGAGACCCTTGCAGCGCCAGAAGTTAAATACAAAGCTCAGGAAATGCCAGCCTGGCAAGATTACTTTGGATCTAGGATTGGGGGCAGGGCCTGCACTCCTTCTTGGTGGGACTTGCTCAGCTGACTGGGAATTGTGTTGGAGTTCTCATCTTCTAAAGGAACAAGGGGCCAAAACGTCCTGCATTGCCCAAGAACCACAAATCTGCAACCAGTGTGCGTGTGCACCCAGAAAATCCTTGTTCTTCTGTTCCCCCTTTCTTCCTTTTCAGCAAGTGTGCAACTGGCTTGTGATGGACTGGTTCTTTGAGGGGCAATCCTGCTTTTTAGGCTTTAAGTAACTGGTACCCAACATCTAGTTCTCAGAATATAAAATGCAGAGGAAATCAGCTGATGTCTCTCATTAACAGTCGCCCGGCCGGCCTGCTCTTCCTGGGCTGCAGGAAACAGCTTCTCACATGGAAGCCCGACATGTTAATTTACAGGCCTTTGGTTTCTGTGTTTCTTCAGTCTTTAACCTTGAAAATGTGTGCCACCCACCATGCTGGGTTGCGTGGAGGTAATTTGTTTCTTTTATAATAAAATGTTCCCAAAGCAATTTGCAATTGCCTCATCTGTGCTGTAAATTCAAAATGAGTTCGAAAGGAAAGGACTTAGCTGGAAAATACGGCATTTTACATAATATTTTTTTTGCTCTGTGGATGGTTTCATAGCTGAGGAATAGACCTGTGAATTATAAATCCACAAAAAATAAATTATTATAAATAATAAATAATTATAAATGAATATAAAAGTTATAAATCTTTTATGGTTCCCTGCCTCCTTTTCCTTTTCCTTCTCCTCTTTCTTCTCCTCCTCCCTCTTCTTGCTTGCCGTTCTACCCCTAACAATGCAACGTTGCATTGCAGGTTGCTCTTGAGGGTCTTTCGTACAGTTTCATCCTCATCCTGCAGGAGATGTGCCAGATGTTTTTCTCACTAATTGTTAAAATGTGAGCAAACAGAGGCTGGTCTCGGGCCTCAACCTACAAAATCCTTCCTTTCTGTGATTGCGTCGTGGATACTCTACTTGTTGAACAGAAGTTGCCAAGTCCAGAGTATCTGGAAAAAAGTCTGTAAAAAAAGGAACACCATGTAGCTGCATTTGCCTCTTTGGTTTAAATTTAGTATTAAACTTCAAAGGGTGCTTGGCACCTCTTTGAAACTCAGTGTTTGGATATTAGCCAACACCAAGGACTGTTTCAGCTTCTCAACTGGAGGTCCTTCCATGTGGTTTTTGCACACCCTCCTGGGATTACAAGTGTTGAGAAACAATGGTTTCAACAGTTTACCACACGCTTGTGTAATCAGTTTGCTCTTCTCTTGGAAACAGATGGTTTCTCTATGCTAAAGTTCGTGTTTGTTATACTTGGAAGTATAGAAGGGAAGGGAGAGAACCTCCATGTACCTCATGTGTTGGATCATGTAAGCACCTAAAATATCAAGGAATGCTTGAGGATACAAAAGCTGGATTGAATCTAAGAGGACCTGCCCAAGCAATGCCGTCAATGTCTTGTCCCAACGTCTGGAAGCTCTGAGGGTCTGGATGGAGAACAGACTTGGGCTCCATCGTAGCACAACCACGTAGCCTTTGGACTCCACTGCCCCATCCTGAGAACTTTCCATCGTTAGTCCTGGGTGGAATAGCGCTCCCCACTTGAGACTGGTTCACCATGTGGGGGTTTCCTTGGGCTTGCAGCTTCTGCCTGAAGAACAGGTGGCAGCTATGCTCAAGAGGGCCTTTGTATAGATTCAGTTTGTGTGCCAGTTGTGCCCGTTCCCAGAATGCAGTGGTGTGGGCAACATTGGGCATGTCTTGGTATGCCCCTGTGATGCCGTTGCTCCACAAGCTGTCCTGGTTGGTGGTGGACTTCTGGGTGCAATTCAAGGTGCCGATTGCAACCCATAAAGGCCTTCATGGCACAGGGCCTGGCTATTTGAGGGACCACCTGTCTCTGATGGTTTCTGCCGGTCTCTGGCAGAGGAGATGTGTTCCAGTTCCCTTCATTTAAACAGTGTCATCCATTGGGAGCCAGGAAGCCTGCCTTCTCTGGCACAGCACCTCTCCTCTGGAATAACACTCCCCCAGATGTTTGCATGGCTGCCATGCTGATGATGATCAGTAAGTCTGTAAAAACTGGCTGTTCCCCCAGGGTTTCCTTGGGTTAGGATTGATGGCGGGCCACTGTAGAATTCTATTTGTCGGAGGAACTTTTTTTTTCCCTGGACACAGATGGTTGGTATTTTTTTTTTTAAACCATTTTATTGTTTTATTGTCTTTTAAAGCTTTAAGCCACCCAGAATCTTAATGAGTTGGGCAGCCTCCAAATCAAATACACCTGTGAAAAGAAATCGCATTATGGCTTAACATGATGGCCGGGTTGCAAATGAGTTCCGTGGAAAGGTGAAATGATCGAGACAGGTTCGTGCACCTTGATTGATCGACTCATTTTAATTATTTATATGGTATTGTTTTTTAATGGCTTGGGTTTGTGGTTTTAATTGTGAGCCACCCAGAGTCACCCACTGGGGGAGATGGGCGACATACAAATTTAATAAACAAACTTATCTAGTAGCATGGTGGCCTGTAGGATGAAAGGTCTTCTTTCAGAAACCTAGTTAGTCTACCCATCCTGGCCCGGTCTCCTGCCCCAACTTGAGGTAGCAAGTTAATTGTTTTCATTTTCATCTCTCTTCTTGGGGACACCACATCTACCAACTTCCCCCTGGTGAATAAAAGGTAAAATGGAGAATGTAAATAATCTCACAAGAGATTAAAAAATAAAACTTATTACTCAAAAAAGTAGTTCAAAAACACGTGATTCATATATATATAATGCTCTCAACAGACATGGGTGGGGCTGGTCTGGTCTAACTGGTGATCTTGGGAGGGCAATGGTTTTCTAGTTACCAGTTCCCAAACATTTAATAAAGAGGGAAGTAAATATTGGACACAGGCTAAAATTACACAGATTAAACAATGCCTTATTTACACTGAGAAATACGAGTAAGAAAGCAAAAGACATCTAATGCAGACAAAATGCAACTCCTGAGAGAAGGTGTATATTCAAATTCATGTATTTAAATTGGCAGGGAAGGCGTAGGATTTAAAAAGCACATTTTTTTTTTTTTAACTGCAAATTGGGTTAAGAAATCTTTGTTCACGTCAGGTGCTGGGCCCAACAAACTCTACTGGGGTTGAATCTGCACCTCTGCTTTTCACAACAACCTGAGACAATGATTGGGTGCCTGAACCAGAAATTAAGCCTACCCTAGGAGCTGTGTGAATCTAGGCACAGGGAGGCAGGAAGGTATATCATATACATACATCCACTGAGTTTTAATTGCCCTTCTGAGATCCTTTCATCAAGTTCTGGAGCCCTTGGGTCCATGAAATCACCCGGAGTCCAACTCAACTTGAGAAAAGCTTTCCTTTATGCCCGGCTGCATGATGACACCTAGCCAACCTTGGTTGATCTCAAAGGAAGCAAGGTTGGGTCTAGTTAGCAATTGGATGTGAGACCCCCAGAGCTATAGGCTCAAGTTGAGAAGGCGTTTGGAAGAAGGCAACAGCAAACCATTCTGGATTCTTGCCAAGAAAACTGGATGTGCCTCTGATGTCACCAGGATTCAAACTCATCTTGAATGAGAGACTTCAGATGCTGATCCCTTACCTCAGCTTACTTACAAACCATGATTCACCAGGAACCTTTTATACATATTTCCCTTGCAAACGGTGACCTACTTTCAGCTTCCTGTTCTTTAACCTGTTGCCCAAGGATGAACGTATCATCCTGTTAGCATCTAACTGAGGTGTTATGACTGAGTTTCTCATCACTGTCACGCTCCGTCAGTGAACCTCCCGGGTTCCTTGAGGGACTGAAGAATGAGATTCAGGGTGGGGTGAAAGTGGCTTGATCTTAGCCAAGCTCAAGATTAATTTTCAGTGCTGCAGGGTTTTGTGTAAAATGGTTTCAAAAGCAACTTGGGTTGGTTTTGATGTCGCAACACCAGGGTGGGGTGGACAGAAGACTTGATGGTCTTGAGTCATGGTTCTTGTAGGCCAGGAGATAGCTGGCTGGGAACTTCTGGAGCAGCAGATTTCGACACACAGCATGCAAAGCCCTTTCCTGTTTGCCAGCTGAGGAGTCTGGCAGCTCCATAAACGTGCAAGAGGAAATGGGAAGTTGCTCATAAAGTCAGAATTAAGAAGTGCTGTTGCTTTAATCCAGCGTGAGGAGAAACCATGAAGGGCTGTGGGCTTGGATTTGCGGTGTTGGCCAGCCTCTTGCTTCTGGTAATTGCCCTCTCGGAAGATGTCCCAACTCTGCCCGCGGCACCTGAGGTGGTGAGATCCGATTCCGATCATCAACCTGTGAGTATTACCCACTGCACAGATTGTAATCTGCAGTGACTTTTATCACAACTCAAGCAAAGATATTAGTTAGAAAAATGAGGAAAAAATGAGGATTGTTGGTTTGGAGCAGCTCTCCTATGAGGAAAGACCTTGGCTGCTGAGGCTCTACTGTTTGGAAAGGGGGACTGAGAATAAAGACCTTACAGAGGTCTAGAAAATCACACCCCGCATAGACAATGTGGAGAAAGAGTTTTGCTGCACTAACCACGGCCATTGCTTCAGTATACTGCTTGGAGTGGGTTGTTGGAAGTAGTTTATACATTTAGTAACAGCACAGCAATAATAGGAGTAGTAAAAATGTCAGTATTGGAACCAAATGCAGGGAGATTCAAATCCAAGAGGAGAAAATGCATTCTCTAACTGCATAGAGTTAAATCTCTCACATAATGGAGCTGAGACTCCAGCAATTTGTGCAGCTCCTTTTAAAACCTTTGAAACCTTTTGAAACTTTTAAAAGTTCCTTTGAAACCTTTTGAAACTTTTAAAAGTTCCCTTGAAACCTTTTGGAACTTTTAAAGGTTCCTTTTAAAACTTCTGAAACTTTTAAAGGTTCCTTTTAAAACTTTGGGAGCTTTTAAAGGTTCCTTTTAAAACTTTTGGAAGTGGACTGCACAAGTACCTAGAACAGTGTTTCTCCAACTTGGCCACTTTAAGACGTGTGGACCAAGTTGCAGAATTCCCTATCCAGCAGCCTTAAAGACTTAAAGTTGCCAAGTTTGAGAAACACGGACCTAGAGCATCAAGCTCTCAATGGTTGCTAACCGTGGCAGCTGTTTTCTGCCTCCTGAGCCCTAAGCAGGGTGTCTTAAACACAGTTGCTGGGAAGGGAAAATGGAAGGAGGCTGACACCCTCCAGTCCAGGTTTGTGAGCTTCCCAGATGCGCTTGGCTGAGGCTGTGCAACACAGATGGCAGGGTGAGGCGGACCAACAACCTGATCCAACCTCGGGGCTCTTCTGACGTTCTTACGAAACAGATTTCTGGGTTGATTTGCAATAGGGAGACGCTTGGAGAAGTCTTCTAGGGCTCAGCCGCGGCCAGGGAGAAGCTGACGGGGTCTGTATTCCAGGACCCGCTTAAGCTGCTGATCATGAAAAGGCAGAACTGCTTTCGGTCTGCCCGTGTGTTGTGAGATTGTTGGGGTTGTCCTCCAGGACGTCTGAGGGGTGTCACGTGTGTGTGAGTGTGTGAAGCCTGGTTTCAATTCAGGGGTGTCGGTGTGTGTTCCACCCCTTTTTATGCCACGAAGCTAGAAAAAATGAAATTAAGAAGGA